ATTGGACTACACTTTCCAGTATGTTCTATTGACTCACTGGCTGACTGCTATAATCTATTTACATGAGCAGAGCATTTGCTCTTATGTGAGCCACATGTGTGGGGACAGTAGCAGAATGCATGGCCACAAGCAGCACACTGTACTACTACTTAAGCACCTGGCTCTTTCCTTCTCTTGCCTACATTTGCTATTGGAAGCAGATTTCAGATCCTTCTCAAGTTGAAAGAAGGAGATAAAATCCCACATGTTATCAAAGAATCCAGCAGCACAAAGCAAATACAGTCAAATCAGCTAATGCAGATATTAGAAGTCTGTGGATGTTAGAAGTTTTTTAATGGTTTCTATTGAATATAAGCTGCTACCTACGTATTGGCCTGGTGGTGACTGGCTGTGTGGTAGTTGCAGGCAGTACTGTTGTGGTGGGGAATTTCTTTGGTCTGAACTTGTAGTGCCCAATGAAGCCGTCGGCAGTCAGGCTGAGATCTGACAGGAACTGGATTAGGAGCTGATTCCCCTCCGACAACACCGGCCTACAGAGCAGCACGGGAAAGCAGACTGAGGATGAACTGAGATGAAATCACATGATGGTTTAGTGAAAATGAAATCTTCTGCATGACAGAAATCACCTACGCTGGGGGGCTGTCTCCGCAGTATTTGCCAATCCTCTTCGCATCGTTTATTTCCGGCCCGTTGAAAATGGAGACGTGGTCGTAGCGGCAGTAGTTGTCTCGTTCCACATCGAACTTCTCGAACTTCACCTCAATAATCTGCAGCAGGAGACAAGTTACAAAGTAATCCTCTTTTTTCTAGCAAAAGCTTATAACAGGCCCTAGGGTGCATCATCTGACTAAAGTGTATGCTGTCATTTTTGAAAAGATATACTCCACCTGCGACTCACTGAGATTTCTTAAAAGAACGGCTTAGGTAACTTGCAATGTTTTATTTCAATAGAGTGTTATTCCGCCACTGGCATTTACTCATCATTGATATAGAGGGAAAACATGCATGGAAAAATGACTAGATGAAAAACTTCTGTATCTTCATTTATTTACAAAACTCTGTTTATCTGCTGTGGATAGCTTCTCCAGTTTCCTCAGATTTTCTAAGCACACAATACACACCATGTCAAGATATGACAATTTTCCTCTAAAAACTCTTTGGGGATCACTGTGTTGTTACAAAAATACTATATTCTGCCTGTCAAACTGTGTTTGATATTTGAATGGTTCACAGATATGTGTTAAGTGGCCTAATAAAGAAGCAAACAAACAAAGACATTCCCCTGAAAATGCTCAGGTACAAGGACTGGCCTGAAAATGAGTGAAAAAGCAGCCAATGTTCAAAGAAAGCCTTTGAAAACCCTCCAGCAAGCCTGAAGAAGTATTGCTAAACGGCACTTTAAAAAATGACAAGACAGGGTGTCTCCTTGGAAGCAAAATATAAAGAAATTAGGAGTGACTCAAAACTTTTGCACAATGTCCTGGAATTTCAGTTCATTTGAGGTCAGTTATTCAGAAAGAAACATTTGCATTTACTAATTTTTTTAAGTCAAAATTTTAATGTATGACCTGGTTCTTTGGTGCTACTATATGCCAGGAGCAGGTCACTCCAGCTGGGTAGTCCTTCTCAGGCCAGTTGGGTGTTTTGAAAGTCCCAGAGGGCTTAACCAGCCTGCCTCCACAGTACTGGTCCCCTGAGGAGAAATGACTGAAGTTAGTGCTAGGATTACACAATTAATTAGCTATATTCTGCTCCTGTTATTGCTTGAATGAAATAATAAATGTTATTTAGCAATCTTTTAAAGGCTATAATGGTGAGTCGGTAATGTGCTCGTGTTATTAACTGCGTCTAGGGGCGGTCACTGCCTTTTTGTCATTATGAACACCATAAAAAGCAAGTCTGTCATTAGTCATCTTTGGGTTTAAAAATAACTGCCATCAGAGGAACATCAGTTCAGAAAAAACACAAACTCTCAAAGGATCGAATCACTTAAAAAGATGCGTTCCTTATAACATATACTTTAACTGATTCTGCCTTTCCAGCATGTAAAAAAATCTATTTAGCAAATTGAAGAAAACAAATCTCCACAAATGGGTGACACGTGGTGCAGCAGAGTTTTAACCATGTTTAAAGACAGGATAGCAACAGTCTCTCTGCCGGCGGGTAAGAGCCTGACCGACTGGTTAATTGACACTGTCCGCTACAGCTGTCAGCTCCTACGATACAGAAAACCAGACATTAAACTTCTAAAAACAGTAGCTGGCCCAGTGAGGAAAACGCTAAAGGCTCTAAGTGATATTTCTGACCTTTGCCTTGCAGCACAATAGCCAAAAAACATGAGAAATTTCACATCACAGTGCGAGAAGAGTTAAAAAGCAGGTTTCTTTTAATCCACATGGACTTTTAGCCCACAGACCTGCTCTTACTGAGCTCAACACGAACGGATACATCCTGTTGTTTTACTGGGTGTCTGCATACAAACAAGGTAACATTTACTTCTTAGTAACATTACAGAAGCTCCACATATTTCTGCATGACATGCTTGGATAGCAGCAAGATGTGCTACCCTTGCAAACTTGCCACCTTTGACTAAGACAGCTGTGTTAAGAGGAAGCATGCCCAAGCTTCTTCTTCTCCTCATGTTTTCTTACCTCGCTCATGTGTATGGGCAGCAGAGAAAACAGCCAGGAAGCCACTCCCAGCAGTGTTGGCATCAGATACCATCTGCAGGAGCATCTTGTTGCCTGTGGAAACAAGGGCTCCTGGCTTGAACGTCCCACAGAAGCGACCCAGTCTCTGTCCATTGACATGGCCGCTGTAGACATCCACATAATCATAGCGACACAGGTTGTCGTTCTCCAGATCAATGAAGCGGAATGACAGTACCACCACCTTGCTCTCCGGGACCTGGGTGGGGAGTTAGAGAATGCTTAGTTAAATTATTATTATTATTAAATGGCATAACAAACAAATGAGCATAGACCTTTCAGTAAATACTAAATATTGTTACTTTAATACTCTCAAACATTTTAACCTAATTGTGCATTTTAACCCAGCTTATGCCGTTTTTCCAACCTAATCATCAGCTTCACTGCAGTAAAGTACAGAAACATCACAGAGCACTCAGCAAAGATTGCCCCAAGCTAACTGCGGCTGTGGTTAACTTCTTTTAGAAGGAAATTAGGAGTGTGGACTAAGCCAAAGATACTGTATTTCTTTTTAATGAACAATGCTTTATCACTGTCATCATATGCTATGAATGAAAAACACAACTGGACTCACTGTGATTCTCCACACACATTTGGTATTTGGAGGGTAAACTCCTGGGTACCCCTGGCTCCCGATTACTCCAGACTCTCCTGTGATGTTTCCGCCACATGTAAAGATTGGTCTGAGGAGAAAGATATTTTCTATACATATATATAAAATAATAACGGTGCATTAAAGCAAAATTTAAAAACAAAGTTGATAATATCCATTGGATTCAGTGCATTCAGTTCCTCGCCAGTGGGCCACATGTCCCGAGGCAGCCCATACTGCACAATATTCTTCCAGCTCCAGTCATCTGACGGTGATTTTCAAAAGGCTAAATGGGATCCTTACTTTTTTAATCTAATACATCTTTCAAGAAAATTTGAGTTTGGGGTAAAAAGTAAATAAAGAAGTACCTCTGCTGGGACTGCGCACAGACTTCTGTCAAGAACAGTAGAGTCCATGCGCAAAAAATACTGCATGTTCTCCACATTGTTGGGAAAACGGAGCAGGAGCTTCGCCTGTTTTCGCCCGGTGGCGTGAATGGCATTGTGTTCAACAGGCTAAAACGGAGGGGAAAAGTACCCAGGAGCTCCTGTAAGGAGTTTCAGCAACGGAAAACTCAAGCAAGCAGATGAATATAGCGTTTGTTCTGCGTGGTAGGAGGGACGGGGCGCAGGGTGCACATTTCTTTTTTTTCTTTCTTTTTCTTTTTTCCTCAGGAGGGTTAAAGACGCGCTGGGAGGGGAGGGAGTGGGCGCTTGCGTTAGTTGGCTTGAAAACGAAAAACCTTTAAGGAGATGGCATGAATAAACTTGACTCCAGAAGTTATCTATGCATGGTTTCACATTCCGATCAACGTGTATATTTCTGAATTCAAATACCTGCATGTGCCTAAAGGTGAATGAGGCAACTTGTGTTGTGTTCGCCAATCTTATTTTTTTATTTTATATTTTATATATGTCTATAAATTGAAATATAAAATACAATTACATGAAATATGGCTTGTTAGAGTTGTGTGCAGCAAAGGGGTCATCTGAGGATTGAAAGAGAGCACCACCTGCTGGACAAACTATGGTGTAAGCAATTTTATTATCGCTCAAATTCCAATTCAAAAATGTGCTGTTCTCTCCATCATATTATGTTGTTTATTTGATTATATAATTATTATTTCTATTTTAGATGTTACCTATTTGTCCATTTGCATTTCTTGAAATGCTCAGTCCATGTCATTTGTTTTTAAATTTCATGAATAGTTACCTTATTTGTTTGCACTGGCACACGTGTGGTAATATTTAGGCTCCTTCATTCTTTGTTTATTTACCCTGATATCTTAGTCTGAGTCTGCAGTTTGAATTATACGGAACCTGCATGTTGATTATGGCATATACACACCATTCACATCGGAATTTTCAGTGGGGACAAAAACAAACAAAAAGGATAGAGTGAGATTGAAGTCACTTCGAGCAGCAAATGAGAGTTAGACCTGCCTGTCGACCTAGTTAATTTTTCTCTTTCATAGTATTTCTGTGCCAATTCATTATCTCTGTTGATCGGTGTAATAGTGGTATTAATTTTATTAATTTATACAATTTATACATATTTATAGTTTTAATACGTGATAGCATTTTGAATCCTGGTGTCGCGCTTGAGAAACTGAAAGAAGAGAGAAGGGAAGCATCGGCGATTCTGTGACTGATTGCGACGCCTGGTGTTTTACAGTTGCCATTATCATCAGCTCGGCGATCGATTCATTTCAGTTCCACAAAAGATGGCGGACCGAACGCCTGGTGGCTCTCAGAAAGCTAGCGCTAAGGTAAACTTATAGTTTGTAGTTGTTTTAGCTCACTTGCACCTGTTGTAATGAGAACTGTGCGAATAATCTTGTGCTTGAACAGCACTAGCTGTTTGCTGTAAAAGACCACAACAGGGAGTGTGCGCAACAGTGTCTGCTAACACTGCCGCGCTACGGCTAACTGAGGCGCCGCAGCCACACTGGCTGGTTTTAGCTAAGCTAAGCTAATGTGTTGGTCACCATAAACTGGATTAATGGAAGCAGTTATCACAGGAATAAACTTGTTCGCAAATCACAAGCTTTACACATGCATTGTCTTCTGGATGACGTACAGTGGTTGTATATTTCAGTGTGGAAATAGTAAATTAAGCATTTGGGAGCTGGGGCCTAACCGTCATTCGCCGTTTAGCGTAATGCATTCAGTCCGTGGCGCTGCACCAAAAGACGACTTCTTAGGCCTCTTGTTAATTTAGCTAATTTCTTAATCTTCCCTGGTCTCCAGCTGCAGCTTGGTCGTAAATGCGTAATGTATTATACTTAAATAATTAGTGTTAAATGTCTGAGTAACGGTTGCAGGCGCCTATTTAATGCAGCCGACTTTATAAACCAGCGGCTACAGTCCGCGCTGAAGTTACCTGTTTACGTGATAATTGATAGGCATATTAAATAATAATAATAGCAGGACTCAACATTACTTGAACAAGTCGTGGTTGTTTCCAGTTATTAAATAGTCGTAATGTGTGCTTATTAAATACCTGGTGAAAACAACCATACTTTGTTGACATGTACAGGCGCTGCTTGAGAGCAAACTGAAGTCTTTCAGCATTGGCAAGATGGCAGTGGCAAAGAGAACCCTCAGCAAAAAGGAACAAGATGAAATAAAGAAAAAAGTAAGTATGGATGTTCCTTTTGCACAATATTCTCTGCATGAGTAATAGCTGTTAGAGATTTATATGATTTATTTACTTTGACACCTTTGTGTGCGTGTGTGTTCAGGAAGATGAACGAGCGGCAGCTGAAATTTATGAGGAGTTTCTTGCTGCTTTTGAAGGAGGAGGGGAGGGAAAAGTCAAAGCTTTTGTCCGTGGTGGCATTGCAAATGCAACGAAAGGTATACGTTTTGCATTATATGTTTCTCAAACTGATTGCAAAATATGCAAATGTTAAAGAACAGTTCACCAAACCTTTTTTACTTTGGAAATTGAAATAGTAATGTGATTGGAGGGCGAAAACTAAAAGATTTTTTTTTCTCCTTGCAGAGGAAGCGGCTGCTGATGAGAAGAGAGGAAAGTTGTACAAGCCTAAGTCACGTTTTGAGACCCAACCAAAAAGCATCCTGCCTTTGGAAACCCCGCCACAATTTTTAGCATTAGACAAACGGCATGTAAGTACTGTTTCTGAGAATGAGAAGCATCTCGTCTAACTTTTGCATTGAATAACACTTACCTGGTTTACTCATTGTAGGGCTTAAAGAAGAGCAGTGAAAAGGAAAAGAAGAAGAGTAATTTGGAGCTCTTCAAAGAAGAACTTAAACAGTAAGTTTTAACACAGGAAGGTGTTAAAAGATTTTAGTGGCAGAGATTAGATGTTCCTAAGACTTTTGGTGTTTTTATTAAAGTTGTAATATATTAAACACAGATTTTAATCAGCTGTGATATGTGTCTGTGTCTTGTAGAATACAGGAAGAGAGAGATGAAAGACACAAAATGAAAGGACGTGTTAGTCGCTTCGAACCGCTCTCTGGGACGGATGGAAGACGCTCCTGTAAGTGTTGTTTAAGTCACGTGACTGCCTTACGTGCACTAACTTGGCCTGACAGGGCCCTTTCCTGCCTTACGCCACCCTCTGTCCCTTTGTCCACATCTACCCTGAAACAAAATTTATACTGCTTTTCTGCTTCTTTTAGCGGATGGTTCTTCACGAAGAAACCGTCCGTCCAGTGGTAATTTTGACTTAATATAGTGACCGTGAATACCTTTATCTTGCTAAGAAAATAATGTTGGTCCTGTCAGACAGCAGCAGGAAATTCTTTTCTCTTCTCTGTGTCTGCAGTTTTGGATGACTGTGCACCAGGTTCCCATGACGTTGGAGATCCATCCACTACTAACTTGTACCTTGGAAACATCAATCCACAGGTTTGTATCTAAACATGCATGAAGTGGAAGTAATGTAAAGCTTGCCATAAAAGGAGGGGCTTAAGCATGTTGCTATTCCTTAGAAATTTGCTACATATGCCCTTAATTCAGAATGTGAAATATTTATGCAATGTCTGTGTTTCTCAATTTGTATCATTTACTTCATAGATGAACGAAGAGATGCTGTGCCAAGAGTTTGGCCGGTATGGCCCGCTGGCAAGTGTGAAAATCATGTGGCCGAGGACAGATGAGGAAAGGGCTCGGGAGAGGAACTGTGGCTTTGTGGCTTTCATGAACAGGAGGGATGCAGAGCGAGCACTCAAAAACTTAAATGGTACAAATCTCGAATTCTTTTATTAAGTTGTTAGATTACATCCTTTTATCTTCTTTCCAGTTCACATGTGCGTGTATAATTTAATGCACATTTACTCCCATAATAGGAAAGATGATAATGAACTTTGAGATGAAATTAGGATGGGGAAAAGGTGTGCCCATTCCACCCCATCCCATCTATATCCCTCCTTCTATGATGGAGCATACACTCCCCCCGCCTCCCTCTGGCCTCCCATTCAACGCACAGCCCCGAGAGAGGCTAAAGAACCCCAATGCTCCTCTGCTTCCTCCACCTAAAAACAAGGAGGAGTTCGACAAGGTAATTCAATACGTCAGCCTAGGATTTTCTCATGGGATATGGCAATGTTTTGTTAATTGTGGTGGTAAGATGTTAGTCATAATAAGCAAGTCAGTACAGGATTTAGATTTTGAATTAGTTGTTGTGTGTAAGAAAGTGTCGTTATCAAATGTCAATGTGTGCAAAATGCTCAGTGTTACAAAGAGGTGTTACTATGGTAAAGTATCAGGGTTGTTTGGCCACTAGTAAAACTGACAGCAGGAAAGGAAAGTTATTGTCTCTTTGCACTTTTTAAATGCATTTTTTATATTTTTCACCTGTTGCCTTTGTAACAATACTCACATTCTATGTTTATTATCTGATGTGACTTCATATACAGACTCTGTCGCAAGCCATAGTCAAAGTGGTTATCCCAACAGAAAGGTACATGTTTTTCTTTTTTTTTTTTAATTGGTGTACAAACTTAGAAAGGAAAAAAAAAACATCCCATAATGAAACTAATAAGTTTGATCATTTGATCACTGCATGCTACAGGGGGCTGGTCAGTGTGGATGAGCAATGGTTGAGGCAGCTGCACGGCGTCTTCATACTAGTACCTAGAATAATACTGACTGAAGTTTGTTTCACATCCCTCCATCATTCATATTTTCTTTACATGTGTAGCCAAACATCATTATAGATCTTAATAACTATGCTATTTAGAGAAAAAGATCATTACTTTCACAGTCCCACTCCATACATAGACATTAAATCGTGTTTCTCAACTTTAGTGATGTTGTACTCTGCTACATACATGATCTGCTGATTCTAGATCCGTAGTTGTGAAAACCTGTTCTCTGACCATTGCTCACTCAGACCGTCTCCCCCCTTGGCCTCTGTCACTATGAGGAGCTCAGTAAATTTGGCTCCTGCTGACAAATCCAAACCTGCCATCATTAGTCTATATATGACCTTTGACATTGGCCTTGGTGAGCAGCACAAGTTGAACTGTCTGCAGCAGCGAGGGACCTGAAAAGCATCATGGGATGGATTGGGAAAGTATACAGAATTTTACCCCGTCATTGGTACGATCGGCTCCAATACAAGTAAATGTGATTTGTGTTGTCAAATGAAAGACATCCTTTGTCTTGTTGGCCACTTTAGGCTAATTGTATGCAGCCTGCACAATTTATTTCCTCTACAAATTATCACAGAAGAACTTCTAACGTTCCCATTTGCACAGTTTTAAGTCGGTACCAACTCCACTAGTAGATAACCCGTTTTAGGCCAAAGATCATATACTGCTTTTTCACGTTACATTAGTAGGAAAGAGTGGGAATTGAAAGGCACTGTACTGACAAATATTCCTGTTAGTGCGGTGTCTTATTAATGTCTCACTCCTGTTGTTCCCAATTCCACTCACCCCTACATTGTGAAATTTGAACTTAAAGATATTTTTTATGAAGGTTCCGAGCAGTGCAATGTAATTAAAAGCTGTTGCACTGTAGCCTCAAAGAACACAGGCATGACTTTAGTAGATGCAATAAAAAAGCTTTTCTTTTCTTTTCCTTTTTCTTTTTAAATTGACATGAATGTCGTACTGTCACAAAATGTTTTTATATACATATTTTTATTTTTTGCGTGTATTCATTGATGTTATATGTAGGCCCAGAGGTGTAGCCACAGTGATGGTTAATTTATTCCTGGTCATGTGACGCACTCTGACAGTCATCTGTTGTCTCATATTCCCCGTCATTTAAACCGTCGCCATAGTAAATAATAAATGGGTATTGTGGTAAGATTTTAGAGTGATTTAGGCATCATTCTGTACCAAGTATATAATGTCACAGTAGAAATTTATTATTCAGGTATAGGTCAATACAGCTGCATTTATGCTTGCAGCATTTCATTGTGTGACATAAATTGTCTTTGCCTAGTCAGCCTGTTGAGTGTGTCAGACCACCAAGAATAAATTAATCTTTAATTGGGAGGTTTTAGTAGTGTTCAAGAGTCCGTCCAGTCTGAATCCGTTTGCTTTAACTGTGTTTTTCTTGTAGGAATTTGCTCTCTCTCATCCATCGAATGATCGAGTTTGTGGTGCGTGAAGGACCAATGTTTGAAGCCATGATCATGAACAGAGAGATCAACAATCCCATGTACAGGTGAGCTTAACTGCACAATAGACATGTAGTGTTATTCTGTTAGCTAAAATTCTTTATGTGCTGAGTTACAAAGGTTGTGTATGTCTTTTTATGACAGGTTTTTATTTGAGAACCAGAGCCCAGCACATGTATACTACCGATGGAAGCTCTACTCCATACTGCAGGTTAGTTTTCTATCTTGAAAAAAGTTGCAAAATTTCAGGGGGATCCAGCCATTCCACTAAGTTTCTTCTTTTTATCAATGTGTTCACTGTGATTTATTACTTCCTCAGGGTGAATCACCAGCCAAATGGCGAACAGATGACTTTAGGATGTTTAAAAATGGCTCTTTGTGGCGCCCACCTCCTCTTAATCCGTACCTCCATGGTCCCTACGATGATGGTGAGGAGGAGGAAGATGAAGAGGAGGCCAATAAGAAAGGCTGCTTAAAAGAAGAGTAAGAATATTTGTTTATATTCTGTTACATCTATGTTGTATTTGCTAAATTGCAGAAGTTCTGAGGTTTTTACTTGAAGGAACACTGGAGTCATGCTTTGATTTCTAATTGGCTTTGTTGATGTTCCCACCTGCTCCAGTGTTGTTACAACTGTTAATACTTTGCTGAGTAGTGACTCAGTATTTAGAAATCAGCAGGATAGTCGAGTTTATCTGCATATCCATGAATTTTAACATCAACTCACAGCTCACGCCTGCACTCGCACTGCTACATTTTTGCTAATCTAACATGAAAGTAAATGTAAAAACACAAAGTGAGAACCTGAATTGTCAACTGTAATGGAATAAACTTGTGCTTTGCAATTGAAAACCCAGGCCTGTTTTAACCGATGCATTAAAGGATGCATTTTTAGACATAAGTTGTTTGGCCGCCGTTTTCTTTGTGAGTATTTATTACACAGCGTGCTGCGGGGAAACGCCTGTTCTAACGTTTGAGTCTAAGGTTTATTTTTTAGCACCTGATGGCTCTTTTTTGCTTCTCATCCATAAACACTCTGCATACTCTTTCACGTGATTCAGTTTATTTTGAAAAGTCTCAACAGGATCTTGAGCTTTATTGTGAAAAGTTTATGTGGAAAATAAACAAGCGGACACGCGATGGTTTTACGGTCGTTGTTGCTAACGACAATGCATAAAAACAGGCGCTTGTCCGTCCGTAGTGTGGTTATATTAAATATAAGAGAAAGACAAAACTTTAAGAAATTAATATAGCCACTACAGTGACCATCAAAATGATGAAAAAAATGTTGCCGTAAACAGTTTATTTTGCGACACCACGAAACAAACAATAGCGTAAAATGAAACGATAGACGTTTTTATATCGTCATCCGATATATATCGTTATATGAACAGCCCTAGACAGATATGAAAAGTACAGTAAAGCAGACAACAGCTGGGTTAAATGCACTCTGTCCTCACTGTCCTTCATCTCTGCAGGGAGCGGGACAAACTAGAGGAGATGCTGCGTGGTTTGACTCCCAGGAGGGCAGATATTGCAGAGGCCATGCTGTTCTGTCTCAGCCATGCTGAAGCTGCTGAAGAAATTGTGGAGTGTATCACAGAGTCCCTCTCCATCCTAAAGACCCCTTTACCCAAGAAGGCAAGACACTGACCAAAAGAAGAGAAAGACTTTGATAACAACCTGTTTATAGAATTACCCAAAAACCCTTCCAGAATCATAAACTCCTGTTTGCTCTTTGATGTCTTTCAGATTGCACGGTTGTATCTAGTTTCTGATGTGCTGTATAACTCTTCTGCCAAAGTAGCCAATGCATCTTACTACAGAAAATAGTAAGTTATGTCGTTTGTATACTTGAACCATATTATCATCAATTTCACTTAGTCACTCCTTTTTTCCCTGGAAATAAATTGCTCTTTCCTTGTTCTTAATAGCTTTGAGACAAAACTCTGCCAGATTTTCGCCGACCTAAACGCAACTTACAAAACAATACAAGGTCACCTTCAGTGTGAAAACTTCAAGGTACCAAGTCTTGTTAAGTAAACTTCACAGCCTTGATAATTTATATAGTTAAACATCCAGATTACTTAGCTCTTTTTGTCCTAATTCTTTTTGTGTGTGTGTGTGTGCTAGCAACGGGTAATGTCATGTTTCCGGGCATGGGAGGACTGGGCTGTGTACCCTGACCCTTTTCTTATCAAGCTGCAGAACATCTTCCTTGGTCTAGTGAACCTCGCTGTGGAGAAGGAGCCTGTAAGCCTTGTTGTGGAGGTAAGTGAGGCCTTATTATTTAGTCTTTTCAGTACCATTAAAATTATTGTATTAATATTGCTCTACATTTGTATCAAGCCTGAGCCAGCAGACGACATTGATGGGGCTCCTATCGGGGATTATGTAGATGGTACTCCACTGGAGGACGTGGATGGAGTGCCCATTGACTCAGTTCCCATTGATGGGGCACCAATCGATGGAGCCCCTCTGGATGACCTAGATGGAGTTCCTATCAAGTCCATGGAAGAAGACCTAGATGGAATACCTTGTGAGTAGTGCATACAATAACAAAGCATGTTTCCAAGAGTTGTTGGATCCATCAATTTCCCAGCGACTCAGTTCTTTTTTTTCTTCTTCTTTCTATTAATATAGTGGATCCATCCAAGGATGCTCCCTTCAAGGTAGCACCATCAAAATGGGAAGCAGTGGATGAGGCAGAGTTAGAATCTCAAGGTGAGGCCTTTTAAAGTGTCAGATTAGTTGTTACCTACATTATGTTATCATAGCTGGCGTGAGGGTTTTGCAATTACTTGACTCATATAATTGCCTTTGTTTGCTCCTCAGCTGTGACAACCTCCAAGTGGGAGATATTTGAGCAGCCAGAAGAAACAAAAAAGTA